TTAGTTCCATCTTTTTTTTTTTTTGGGGTACAATAGACCTCTTAAGGTGGAGTATCAGCCCAGGTAAATATGATTGGGGAGCTAAGAAACATGCCCAAGAAGGAAAACCCATTTATGTAAATATTGAACATTTTGTTTCACACCATTATATAATTTAAACACTTGTTGTACAATATACGACCCATTGAGTCTCTTTGTACCCAAATGTTATTGACCCTTATTCGAGGTTTGGTTTTAAAAGCTTACAATTGCTTTGTTCTCAGAAAAGGCTATTGAGGTCCTGGTTCGGTAACAGTTCTGTTGCCCTATTCCCACTGGTATCTATGACCTATAGATGGAGGCCCTCCTTCCCTTGGATACAAAGAATAACAAGCTGGCTAATGTTCTGGAATTTCTCACCTCCTTGAAATATCTATTATTTCTTTCTTGCCATATGACATTAGCACTACATATGAGAGCTTAAGATCTTTTCATGTAAGTTCCTGCCATGCAGATAGGCACAAAGCTAGTTAAGGGCCACAAGTCCAAGCATAGAGCCATACCAAAGCTAGATTTGGTCAAAACTTGGTCCCAGAATGCTCAGCTGAATTGACATTCAAAATTAAGCGGTGAACAATTTCAAAACTTTCATTGCATAAAACACATGGTATTCGCAGTACCAAATGAAAGAAATCCCTTGGATGCCTTATGCTTCTACCTAGGGATGTCAATTCGACTCACCGGCTCAAACGGCCGGTGAAAAGCTCGAGCTGGCTTGCGTCTCAAGGGAACCGAGCCGAGGCTTGAGTTGAGCCTCATTTTTGGGCATAGGCCTGTTCTTGAGCCGGCCTGTGTGGCTCAATGAGCCAAACAGGCCGACCTATGTCATGGGCCATTTTGGCTCCTGTTTTGAAACGTAAGTAGCTACAGCTGCCTTTATAAATTTGTAAATGTTGTAAAGGTAGTTGTATAGCTTCGCTTAAAAAAAAAAAAAGTAGTTGTACAATTGCCTTTGCTACTTATAAATTATGTTAATAATAAAATTAAAAATTTTAATAAAAAATGAAGTAAAATCAACAAATAATTTTAATCGTATATTTTATAGATTTTTCAATTTTTCATCCATACATTTCATCAAATTTTACTAAATTTACTAAAAAGTTTATTTTTATTTATATCGAACAAGGGACTTAATATAGGCTGAAATTTAAAAGGTCAAACGACTAACTTGATGTGTCTAATATTAGAACAAATGATTGGATTTAATTATATTGTTAATAATAAAATTTTGAATTTCACACCTTAAAAAAAAAGAGTCGGCTCGGCTCGATAAGGCCAGAGTCAAAAACCCGAGTTGAGCCTTGATTTTTCGGCCGAGCTTTGACTTGTCTACTCGGGCTAAAAAAGTCTGAACCCTTTTTTGCCCGAGCCGCAACCTTTGGCTCGCGAGCCACTCAGCTCAACACCTAATTCTACCTTGAACATATAAGATATTTTGCTTTCATTAGCATACATGTGCTAGCAAGGAATGCCAGGTTGCTAAAGAGATGGCTATGGCTATGAAACTAGCTCAGTTGGGTTGTTGACCAAGTAATCCACGTACATGATAAAAGAGCATTTCTGCCTTAATGTACTTATCCCTAGCGAGCTTTTACTCGCTCTCTTAAATAGAAGGCAAAAGTCATTTTGGACTAAATACTGGTGGCAAATATTATGTGGAAACTAGAAGTTATTGTATTCATGAATCCTGTGGACCATTCCCATGGGGGTCGTGAAGGGAGATCCCCAATTGGTGTAAAAAACCCACAATCCCTTGGGTTTATCGTGCACTTGGATTCTGAACTCAAAAGTAGGAAAAGAATAAGCCCTATTATTTGACAAAAAGTGCATTTTAGAATAGTAATTCGATGGAGAGTGTATGGTTAAAAAATATGAAAATGTTTTGGGTTTGTATGTAATATTATTTTATTGAAGAATGTGTGGTTGAAAATAAGAGAGAAAAATGTATTTTGATAATAATGAGGGTCAAACAAGGGCTATTTGATTCTTTGTTCCTTTAATAAGGATATCAATTTTTTGGAGAATTATGACATTGATTCAGTGGTCCTTCTGGGACAGAGTGCGCTTCATACTCTGCTCCGTTTCTCTAGTAACATTGCTGAAGAACATGGAATGTAATGGACATTTGCTCTTTTTATTTTATTATGCACTAGTTGATACCCATGAAGTTTTGCATAGAGAGCTATCTTATTGGCCATCTAGGCATTTTGAGGTAGATTTGATAAATCTTGATAGTTTTTATATTTCTTGAGTAGAGGTTCTGCACGCACTTGCATGTCTGCAAAATGTGCACCATGGGATCTAGAAGTTTTTCACTATGTCACATCCTAGGTTTGGACTAACTGATATCGAGGTTCAACACAGTCCTAAACGCGTCCAAAAATGTTCCCTGAAAATATTTAGCTTTTCTATATTTTGCAGGGAATCAGCTGAAAATCAAAAGTTAAAACAGGAAAGACAACTTATAATGACACTTCAAGAAATTAGTTCTTTTTGAACGTCAATGCCTTTTTGCGACTATTCTGTTGGTTGGGAATTTTTCATAACTCGATGGATATAAAATATTAGTTGTTTAAGGTTCAGCTGATGTTGTCCAATAGCAACTGTCCAATTTTATATACAAAATTAGAAGTTAATAGTTTTCTGGAATCCAAGAGGATTATCAATGCCTTGCGCATATTATGGATTTGAGTTTTTGACTAGTTCACTCACTTAATTATTGCATTTCAGAATTAACAACAAAAAAACTTTTCCCTATCCATTTCGTCCAATGTATTCTTTTATGGTAAATTAAGCACATTATGGATTTGAGTTCTTGACTAGTTCAGTCGCTCTTAATTATTGCATTTCAGAAGTAACAACTGTGAGTCTCCCTATGCATCTCACTCAATGTATTCTATTATGGAAATTCTGCTACCTCGTTTATTCTTTGTCTCATCATCAGGTATACATCATTGGTGGAGATGGCGCGATGGGTGGTATGGTGGAGATATTTAATGAAATCAAACACCGGAAATTGTACATTGCGGTAGCTGGAATTCCTAAAACTGTGGACAACGATGTTGGAGTCATAGACAGATCATTTGGATTCCAAACAGCAGTTGAGATGGCTCAGCAAGCCATCGGTGCGGCTCATACTGAGGCAGAGAG